ATGCTTTGTGGTTTAGTTGGACATTCAAACACATCCTTAGCCAGTATTAATATTTTCTAATGATATTGCCCATAGGTAGCATGCAATCTTGCAGATTGCTTAAAATGTGATTTCCGACATGCAATTTTTGGTTCTACTAAAGTAAATGATTTCTTACCTATGCACCTATGTTAAACCTTCAAAACTTTTTTAGACCAGAGAATTGTAATAGGAATGTCATCTGTGTATAAGCTAAAGAGAAAAAATCAAGACACATTTCTATGGAGTCTGATTTTATCAGATACCGCCAGATGGTTGGATGTAGATTAGTTTATAAGATATGAATTGATAAATGGATGAATTTACCTAGATATCTATCTATCTATTCATGTCTTACAAGCAAGTCTCCTGTTGTTGCTTTTACAAGCTAATGGTCATGTACTTCGTATATAGAAACTCTGTAAACGAAGCCTCTAAATTGTACCTTCCTATATGATTGTGGAGCTAGTTATAATTCTCTGCACTGTACTTTTCACTTTTGATCTCTGTAGGCTCTATGCAGTTTAGTGTATGAGAGAAAAGTGATATTATCTAGTAATCAAGAATCAAGACCTCGTGTTTTCCATGACCGCCTGAAGATATGATACTAAGAATTATATACTCAGCATTATTTATCAATGGCTATTTCCAGGTATGCTGGGTTCACGTTACATTTTCTCTACATTTGGTTACTACTTATGATTTAAGGGGAAATTGTTGATTAAATTTGAGCTCATATGAACATGTTTGCCTCTCAGAGCACGGCTTCCTTTTCCTTCAAGCAATGGTTGCCCTCAGGATGGAAAGTTCTGCTTTTTTCCAGTGTAGTTACTTGCGTATCAGAGAACATGTTTCTGGATAGGGAGGAGTTCTGGCAGACTTTTCCCATTCACTTTTCTGTTGGCCTTATCTGCTTCTCCATCTCCTCTATAGTGATGTACGTACTGTTACTGTTATTCCCTTTATTAAATCTTTTCATACATTTATGGTCCTTTTAGTTTGCTGCATTCATTAGATTAATATTATGCTCTAATACACCCGGGACATAATTATGGTTATCAAGGCCGGGAACTATACTATATAATTTTGTATAGAATCCAAACAAACCCCTCCATTCAGATTGATCCACATTGTTATCAAAATTTTATGTACTAAAAATCATTCATTTCTATGACTACTAAGTAGTGGATTATGACATTCTTCTAGTTATTATTGAAAAACCGTTCATATTGCCACTCCCTTGATTCATGAATACAAAGTTGTCAAAATACATTAATTTTTTGCTTTGCGACTTTCTTCGCATGAAAGGAGGGTGGAACATTCAATATCATTGCTTATTATATAATTTGTTATGTTGACATAATTAGCTTATGCTATGGGAGTGAAAGTTTCTCCCTATCTTCTGGTAACCTGGCAAATTATCAAGGTGGTATTCATACTGTATGCCTAGTATGCGTGTCACTCTTAATCCTCCTGTGTATTACAAGCAGATACCGTCAGGAAAAGCAATTCATCAGCAAAATTATTCGTTTGCATGAGCATGTCGACTGAGAGAGGATGAATTCACGTCATCTTTTACCACGGACTCAGATCTTTAGAAGGTGGCCTGTTGCCAACTTCTAATCATAAACGGTAAGTGCTTTATCTCAATGACATCCTTTTGTCCCTTTCAGTGCCTCGTGGACTGTTGATATTGAACTTTTGCATTTTGCATGCAAGGATCGGTTTGAACAGTGTTTGGAGGAGTACGAGGATTAAAAGAGAAGTCTTCATGACAAAATGAGTAATTATTCATTCTTTGTCTAATTGCATTATGTTCTTTTATGGTTTCAGTTCTGTTCTGTAACTTGTTTTAAAAACAAACTTACAATCTGTCTTCCTGCGTACAATAGTTTTTTCCAATATAATTATAATTTTACTTCTTGTAATCTCAATTTGTAGTGTTACAGCTAAATTGAACCTGTGTCTTTCTTCTTGTTCTTCGTAATTTTTTTCCTCGTTTCTTCACTTGAGAATTCTTCTAGATCCCGATCATTGGTCAAAAGGAAAGTAGAATTATCTGCTTCTGATGGAACTGAGGGGTGCAATAGCGAAGAAAAGTTTCCATATAGATTTTCTGTGATTAACATGTATTCCTATTAAGTTTGGCTGTTTCTTATAAGACTCTTTTTCTTGCGATCTCTTCAAACTCGAGTTCTTTCATAGAAACGGGCGCTTATGTGCTCTTACTTCCGTTAAAAATTGAGAATCTCAATAGGGATTTCAAAACATTTTTGCCTCTCTGTCCATTTCCGGCAACGCATTTAAATTGCTTGTTACGTATCTTCAGTTGCTGATGGCATGTCTTCATCTCAATTCTCGTTGAGGTCTTCATGATATCTTCTTAAATCCCTGTCCACGTGATTAGCACGTACTAACGAGTGGTTGCAAGTGCTAATTTCTTGTTCGTTATTGTAGGCTCTGTAGCTCCTCTACTGGCGTATGCTTAGTGGTGTTTGTTGGGGATTCGAAATAATCAAATCAAATCCGTACCCTTCCGGATCTTGTGTTTGAAAGTTGAGCAAGAAAGAAATTCATCACAAATCAAAGATAAAAATTTGTAGGAAAGTAAATAAGAAAGAACACACCAGATTTAACGAGGTTCGGCAACGTGCCTACGTCCTCGGGAGCTACACCACACAATTCTTTGATTACTTGAAGAAGATTACAATGCTTGCAATTGGCCTCTCTCTCTCTCTAAGATTTCTAACCTCAAAGAGCCCTCAAAACCCTTTTTTTTCGTGTTATTTTTCTCTCTTAAACCCTAAAGGGACGTGTTTCTATTTATAACAAAACACAGTCCCAAACAGATTAGGATTCTAAAATGAGTCTGCCACACCCTGGTGTGGCGCAGACCACACCCATGGCAGACAGGGCAGACTCTGCCACTCCCTGGTGTGGCGCAGACCACACCCATGACAGATAGGGCAGACTCTGCCACACCCTGGTGTGGCGCAGACCACACCCATGGTCTGTCTTGAATTTTCATGCGATTGTTGATTTTGATTCTAGGTTTGGGTCTCCACTTTCAAGACCAACAGTGTTCTAGATGATAAAACACAACACTAAAATCTACTTTCCCAAATTCATTGTTTTCGGAAAGTACTTTCATGGAAGTAATTTCCTAAATTATTCTTTGAATTCCGCCCGTATTAAATGACCGTGCCTTTCCTTATTTATCCTAAATAATTGGATATTTATGATTAGTCCACCATTACTTCTATAACAACTATTTTGGGATAATTAGATATTTGAAATTTGAGCATGCGTACGTAAATCAGACAAATGCTAACCTTTTGTCCAGTGTGCGCTCCCATCAATTAGGTACGTTTCAATCAAATGACTCGAAACAAGCCACAACGTTCTTATAAAAAATAAAAAATAAAAATCTTAAAGTTGAACCATCTACATTATTCCTTCTTCATCATCATCATCAAGTTTAGATACTAAGGATGGTACCATCCAAAATCAAACCTCTCCTGATTATAATTCGGAGGGTTAACCGCCGGAGCTTGGCTCGTCTCCGGTGTCTTCGCAAATCGCCCTTTTATCCTCGGCCTCATCTCCGCATACGCTTTTCTTGAAGCGTATCGGATTTGCTTCTCGTATTTCCTCTTCTTTCTCTTCTCTTTGTACCTCAACACTTTTGCCTCTCTGTCGGGGTTTGGGTCGCTTTGGCTCGACGTCGTGCCTTCGGCTGTGGCGCAGTTGTTGCCGGAGGGGTCGAGGCTAAACGTAGCGGGGCCAACGCCGGAGAAAGGCATCTACAAAGAAATTTTCAAGATTATAGTCGTGTGGGGGGGTTTTTCCCTGCAAACGTGGAGAAGCACAAACCATATGAAGTGATCATGAACTAGAGTTCCAGGTTTTGTGAATGACTCGCATAAGAAACTTTTGTCCGTGAAAATTTCATCATGACTTTATTGCACAGTATAAATACAACCTTCTAAGAAATAGCATTAAAAATGCTGCAAAATAAGTTGTGGGGTTATCTGTCAAATTTTATTTAGTAACAGTAAGAGACTGACAACAATGAAGAACATTTTTAGGAAATATCATGGACAAAGTAGCCAGGCATCTTAAAATCTCTTTCACCATTTGAAAGAAAAAGAACAAGAACTTCATGGCATAACACAGAAGATGGGCACTAATTAATTACAATCCTTGCACATAATTTATCAAATCAACAACATTCTTAAATTTTTCATGATTAATGATAGTTGTGGCTTGTCTACTAATAGCAGGATGAGATTGGATAGTAAAACTAAGTCAAACTTAAAATAGATTTTAAAAAAAAGAAGACAGTAAACTACAAGTCCATATTTAAGCACATGAAGAGCGTGTTAGAATATAAATTATGATCCTCAATCCTCACCGTCGCTCTAGATTTTTGGTGCAGTGGCGATGACCTCTAGCGGTTACAAAAAAGAAAATTAATTAAGATGAATGTAGTAGCTTAAAGAGCCGAAACAAGTGATTTTTTATTTTTATTTTTTTAGCTATAATCCTATTAGAACATCCCACAACAGGGAGGTAATCTGAATCGTAGACTTGGATTGTAGGGTACAGGAAGTTTTGGAAGGCTTAGCAGCTGCGTACTCCTTTTATTTTTTAGTCATGAGAACATAATGATAAATATAATATACTGTTCTTTATGTGAAAAGGGCATTAATGGCAGGCATACGGTGCTTACGTGGCATCATATTTAACACTTTATTCCAGCATAAAGTGCGCCAATTGGAAATTTATGTTCGATGTATAATATTTTTTACTACAAATGGCTAAAGTTTGTTAGAAAGGAAACATGTCACCTTCGGCAAGGCGAGGTCCCCTACGAAGAACAAGGTTCCTTCGTCGGTTCTAAATATACGACCTTTTTCTTTTTGCAGTAGGGCTGTGAAAAGGAATTTATACGTCCGCTAGCTTTTACTGGTTTCACTCCGATGCATTACATTAATGATGCATTAAAAAGTGATCCAATGTTAGATAAATAAACATATTCATACGCCTATTAATCTAATGACGAATATTCATTTGATATACCATTAATGCAAAGGACCACTACCCTTTCTCATTGAACCACAATAAGCCAATCGTAAAAGTCGCGACGATCAGCAGTAAAAAGAAGATCGATTAACAATGGGTATGTGCAACAACTTTATTAGTGAACTGCTTGCCTTAAGTGATATGCTTCAACTTATGATTAAGGGTCTGTTTGGTTCAAAAATCTTGGGTAGAAAACGTGTGGAAAACTACTAACATAGTTTTTCTGTGTCAGAATAACCAAAAGGACTCCTATTCCTCAGTTTAGTTCACAAGAGAATAATTGGAAAAACCTTTTAGAAACATCATCTTTGGTGGAAAAGCCAATTCCGAGTTTTTAACGCGTAATTGCTAAGAAAACACTTTTTAAAAAATTAAAAAGGGGGTTGATGGTTTCTAGGGAAATGTAAAATTTTAACATATGTCTTTTCTTAATATGCTCAATTCCTAATTTTAAGTTTTGAACCAAAGCATGGATACGTGATGAGATGAGTTTTCCCTTTCCTTTTGATGTGTGAAACAAAGCAAAAAATAAAAATAGAAATAAAAAAAGAATAAGAAAGAAAGAAAGAAAAAAGCTTTCCCAAGAAATGAATGAAAACTCAGAAATGCTTTTTTCCCATTGGAATCCTATTCTTATATTACATAAAAATAAACCAAACAGACCCTAAAACAAGCTATGTTTTATGTATGTTATGTCAAAAATGATCATGTTCTCATTTCGAGAATGATAATTTATTCTGAGGCCATTTTGGACTTTATGATAAGCACAAAAATATTAAAGCAACCAATATACCATCTCCCAATCAGATTAAAAAGGAAAATATCAGAATTTAGAATTTCAATGTGAAGAGAACTCAAGAAAATTGGACTTGTCCTCTACCAAAAAGAAGGCTAAACTAACTTCATTTGTGGTAGGTGCATTTGTGTCTAATGTGAATTATTCTTGAGCTCCTATCCGGAAACGAGGGGGTAGTTTTAAACATAAATAGGAAAGTTAAAAGTTAATCTCAATCTCTATCCTTACGTTAATGATACAATTCATCAAATTTTATATGGAGGTGCTCTGAAAAAAATTGTACTTAAAAAAATAAAAAAAAATAAATAAAAAGAAAAAAGAAAAAGAAAAAGAAAAGGAGGAAAAAAAAGAAATAATTATTTTGGGTTAGACTTTTCCATAAAGGATAAAAACATAAGACATTTGACAAAGAAGAAAACCTCTTATAAAATCAGCAATTTGGAAGGGGAAAAAAAAGAAAAATATCCTTTTTATACTTACTACGTTGTTTCAAAAGAATTGCTTACCCGTCAAGAGAACTATATATGTTACTCTTATAGTCTTATGCATATTGGCAAAAACATATTGATCATTATGAAATAAATTTAATTAAACTGTATACACATCAAATTGATGAGGGCACTTGCATGTTTAGAGTTTTTCACAATTTAAGGTCACATCTCTCCAACCTAACAGGAATATTTCTACCAACTTGTTAGAAAAAGGGGAATGAGAACATCATCATACATTGGTACTAGAGAAAATAGCGACACATGTCAATAATCAATGTGTCAGTGCTGTATATTGAAAACTCACCTGAACTATGTAACTTATTATTTCAATTGGGTACCTTTTTCAGGGCAAATAGTGTTATATCTACTTTGTCAATTTCCAAGTTGTCGTCTACCTTCAAACGTCTACTTTCTATAATTTTAGTAAACATGATTAAAACATGCTACTCCAAAGAAAGTTTAGCTGTATTAAATTATATATACGAATCAGCAGTGCTAATGTTAAGTTGAAAAACATACCAAGTAGTCAAATAAAATGAGGGGAAAATATGTGGATAAAAAGATATAAATTAAGTTCAAATATACGGATAAAATAACTTATCTAATATGTGGATTAGAAAAGGGTTACTTGTAAATTAATAACAAATTAACTGTGTGCTATGAGGGTGTAGCCATGTATAACTTGTTTCAAGTTAGACTGGGATGTCACGTGGTTGTCATCTGATATATATATTGCCTTTTTGCTAATAATTTAACTGAAAAACGGACTAAAATCCCTTGAAATTTGGGGGGTATCAATGTAACTTCATTTGAGGTTCGAGGGCGTAAATGTTGATAGAAGAGTTAATTAAAGAGTTCATTTGAGGATCGATTCTTATAGTTTTATAATCTAACATGCTCTTTTAGGGCACTTTCAATTTTTTGAAATCCCTATAATTTGTAGCTCATTCGAATTGAACCCCAGTTACTTTGATACCATTATGCCAAAAATCCTTGTCACTGCCATAAAACTTCGGAGTTCTGAGCTGAGAGTTATAATCTTATACTTTAACAATGTTTTGCAGTTTAACCCGAAGAAATACTAGATGCTAAAATACTTACGACGTTACCACCGGATCCAACATGCCCCATCGCCGCCGAACGAAGAAACATCCACAGACGGCGACTGCCTGACCATCGAGTCCGGCGAGCTCGTCCCGCTCAAACAAACATCAAGGGTCAACCTCCCCGGGTTACAAGAACCCCTCAATCCCTCAAAATAATTAAACCCCCGCCCGGCCGCAGCCTGCATGGGCCTAGCGATCTCCTCAGGCCTGTTGCCCTCGGGCCCGGCCTTGGAGTCATTAAACAGCCAGGCCAACGTGTCTTCGTTGGAAAAGAATTGGAACTCCTGCAGGCCTTCAGGCCCGTCGTGGCCCGCTACGGCGCGGTTGAGATCGGCGATACAGTGAGGGCAAGCATTGCTTGAGGTTTGGCATATGGTACAAAAATGGGAAGATGACATGAGTGGGAGTTAGGTTTGTTGTGGAGTTGAGGAGAGAGGAGAGAGGAGAGGAGGAAGGGGAGTTATATGGGGACCGTGCTCTCTCTCTCTCTCTCTCTGTGTGTGTGGTTTGATACCCTTTTTGAGGGGAGGAGAGGGGAGTGGGAGGCCAATAGGAGTGAAGGAAGAGATTTGAGCGATCACTGTTGGTATAACGTGGAGGAACGCTTGCCATGCAACCTTTTATTTACCTTAACTTTTTCCAACTTGCCAACGAAGGACACAAACAAAACTTATGATAGGAGAAACCATGTAGGGGGGTTGCCAAATGATAGTGGTATTCATGGGAGTTGGGTTGGTGTTTTTTTTTTTTAATATATGTGCTAGTATAATATTATGGTTGCAACAGTAGCATAATATGTAGTTGGAACAGTGGGTTACGTCAAACTAAAGGGGTTGATCATCAGAGAATTAATTAATTGAGATATTCTCTGCTGTCGATGAGGCAGCGGAGAAAATGTGGGGGAAAACAAGCAGATCCAAAAATAGAACAGAACAAATTATACAGAGAAGAAAGAAAAGAGCAGAAAGTTAGAAACATCATATTAAATACACTTTAAGTTTGAAATACTTTACAGAAGTGCCGAATCGCCCTCTTAACAGAGGACTGACATTGAAACTATGACCCACCTACGGTAGAGTTAGGTCTGCACAGTACTTCCGATGATGAGACGGCTGCAGTACAAAGAAGCTCTCTCTTCTGGTGAACACAATGACTACTTCTTCAGTTCGTCAGGACCTCCAATACTTAACAGCTTATAGAATTATTAAAAGAAGAAGAAGACGGGAGATTTCGTTTTTTCTGTATGTTTCAAATGATCAGAAGAAGCCTTTTTATAAGGTTCATGTGTTGGGGATTCGAAACAATCAAATCGAACCCTTGCCTTTCCGGACCTTGTGTTGAAAGTAGGAAAGTAGGAAAATTCACCTCAAATAAAGATCAAAAAACTTGCAGAAATAATAAAGGAGACGAACACACAGATTTAACGAGATTCGGCAACGTGCCTACGTCCTCGGAAGCCACAACACATAATTCTTTTGATTAATTAAAGAAGAAATACAAGCTCTCAAACTAGGATTTTATTTCTCTGAGATTCTCTCTTTTTCTGCTGTCAAAAACTCTCTTTTTTCGTGTGTACACAAACCCTAAAAACGTTTAGGTATATATAGAGTCCTGAAAGAAACAGAACCCAAAATACTTTAGGAAACTGTTTGACTGCGTCGCGGTCGACCGTGACGGTCAAGCCACGCAGATCTGGTCGACCGCTCCACGCGCGAGCCGAACACTTTCCCTGAGGGAGAGCAGAAAACGATTACAGTTTAGCCTGCTGGCGACCGTCGACGGCGACAGAACTGATTCCCGAGACCAAAATATATTACAGAGATTTGTGCGGTCGACCGCCGCGATCGACCGCCTTCAGCTCCAGCCTCTTGTCAGCTTCTGTGCACGTTCACGGTCGGCCGCCACGGTCGACCGTGCATGCCTCCTCCTATTTTTCTCGATTTTCTCCCTTGTTTTGATTCGATTTTCGGCTTCAACTTTGGGTCTACACTTTAGACTAACAATCTCCCACTTGGAGACCAAAGTGCCATCAATGAGTTCACCTAAACTCTCCCCTTCTTCGCATGTATCTTTTCCTCCCAAAAAAAAATCCTTTCTTCAATCAACAATATCCCGACGATCTCGCTGATCCTCGTAGTGTGGCTCCGTATTCGTCTTCTACTCGTGAAGGCCAACTGAAGTTGCGCACAACTCCAGTTTCTCAATGATGACTGCCTTTGTTAACATGTCCGCCAAACTTTGACTCCCCAAAATCTTTATTAAGTGTAACTTTTCGTCTTCAACTAGCGAGCGTATAAAATAATATTTGACGTCGATGTGCTTTATTCTGGAATGATATACTGGATTCTTAGCAAGATGTATAATGCTATGACTATCACAATAAAGAACTCATCTCCCTTGCTTCAGATCCAACTCTTCCAAGCACCTGTTCAACCAGATCATTTCCTTGCTTGTTTCTGTCACCGCGATATACTCAGCCTCGGTTGTAGATAAAATCACAATCTTCTGCAGACGTGAGACCCAGCTCACTGCTGTCGACGCTAAGGTATAAACTGCCCTATGGTGCTTCGCCTTGTATCATGATCACCGGCGAAGTCCGCATCCACGTATGTTTTCGTCGAAAGTTGGTCTTATTATGGAATTCATTATATTTTTTTATTGTTTATAATGAATTTAAAAGAAGATAGTCTTTTTATAAGACCTCACTTACACAATAAGAAAAAAATTACAACTTCCTAGAAAATAACATAGAAATCGTTTATCAACTCCTGCTTTTGTGGGAACTTTACCTGTACCGGGGGTGCGTTAGCCCGTGGACCATCGATTCAAAAGATTCTGATTGAACTGTGAAGGCTTTTGAATGTTCTTTTTCGTTTATCGAAATAAGAACCTTAAGCGAATATCTTATCGATGTAAGATGTTCACTCTTCCAAAGATCAAGTCTGAGCTTAGATCTCTAGGAATCACCAAAAGCTTCTTAAAAGTGTTTTTGAAAGATGAAGACTCTCTCTCTTGCTTAAAATTGCCAAAAGCTCAAGTCTCTATGCTCTAATTCTGCTCTCTCTGGCTCCTGTGTATAGGAAGATATTTATAGCCTCTGGAAGTCATAGCTGTTAGAAATAATGTAAAATAACCGATGTTAAATTTTTCTTTTACCGTGGCAGTGGACACTGACGCGGCTAAAGGAGACAGTTTTTTTAGCTTTAATAACCACTCTCACCACCTTTAATTGTCATTATTTCAGCGATTATGGGCGTGATTTCTGCTTGTAACTGCTCCCTCACGTTCATAAGTGATCCCCAGCAATTAATAAGCCATGTGGGCCGCACGAAACTCAAGAAAACTATTAAAAATGATGTTTTTAGCTTCTCAGTATGTGCGACAGTCGTAACTGTCGCGCATTATCGTGACAGTTACCACTGCCGCGCACCTCCGAGACACTTTGTGTTGTCTCGGGTATTTTAGCTCTAACTTCCTCGTCCGATCTCAGAATTAGGTGATCCAAGATGCGTTGGAAAGCTGATGAAGAGATCTATAATTTTTATCTTTGAGATTCTTCAGATTTGGATCATATCTTACCTTAAACTGTCATGTATTTTCACGGCAGTTACCACTGTCGCGCACCTTCGCGACAGTTTGCGTTGTCTCGGGTATTTTGGCTCTAACTCCCGCGTTCGATATCAGAATGAGGTGATCCAAGATGTGTTGGAAAGCTAGCAAAGAGATCTACAACTTTCCATAGGCGAGATACTCTATTTTCTTGCACTTCACCTTCCACTGTCGCGCCTATGCGCGTCAGTGTACACTACCACGCACCTCCGAGTTAGTTTGCATTGTCTCGGATATTTTGGCTCTAACTCCCTCGTCCGATATCAGAATGAGGTGATCTAAGATGCGTTGGAAAGCTAGCAAAGAGATCTACAACTTTCCATAGGCAAGACACTCTCTTTACTTGTGTATCACCTTACACTGCCGCGTCTATGCGCATCAGTGTACCTTATCACGGGTATTCATATTGTTCTTCTATGTTGTTTCACCTGTTCGTTCGTTTCTTTTGTCTTTGGATGATCCCTTATAACTTAGATAATGACATTCATTATTTTCTCTTTATCTTGAGTTGTATTTAGATATCTATAAGTATTTTTAGACGCCTATAGATACCCCCTCCAAAGTATCTCAGACTCATTCTTTTATAGAGGAGTTTGGGATACTTTGGATAAGACAGGTCTGATTTGCAATCCCTTCAGTATTTAGTTAAGGAGATCGTGTAGAAGGGCCTGTGAACGACTTCAACTCTTGACTTCTTCATCTTTTAGTCTATTCAGTACTTTGTAGAATAGCTAAAATTCTTCCGGTGCTGCGTTTATTACTTGTCCGTTGTCGAAATCTTGAACTAAAACTGATATTTTGATTTGTGAATTAGCTCTTGTCGTTGAACTGATGTTGAACTGATTGTCTTAATTGGGAATTCATATCTGGATCGCAATTAAATCCTCTGGAATCATCCATTAACTTGGAATTTTTCCTTAGCCTTATTTTGGTGAAAATCATTGATGTGTTGACCGGCGTTAACACAATTTATCCTCGTGTGTTTACTAGAGTCTACACAGTTTAAGCTCTTAAGGCGTTGGAGCATGGTAGTCCTGAGTGTCGAAGCTGCAGGACCAATTGTTCAGGTCGGTTCATCTGCAGGTATGGATTTTATCCTGAGTTTGTCGGATTCTCAAGTCATAAGACCAACTAATGAAGCTGGTGTGTCAGTGACTATCATATTTATAGGATTTTTGGCAAACCCTAAGCCATCAACGGGTTTGATGAGTCTTTACCGACTACCGTTTGAATCAGGCTAGCATGTAGATTGTTTAAGTCCGTTCTGTATGTAACGTTGTGCTAAAAAAATAAACTCTCTTAGACTTGGTGCTATGATGTTGAATACATAGGCTTTATCGTTAATACGGGAACTTATCACCCGATGACGTGTGTTAGACATAAACTTATCTCTAATAAGAGATTGAGATAATGTCCCCCACGTATAAAACATGGATTTGAAAATGTTGATGGGTTACGTCCTTTTGGTGAAAAGATGAACCCGACACTTGAGAGGAAGAATTTTATATTCTATCTTATTGTATCTTTTTTGTTGGTAGAGATAAAGATGGAGAGGAAGAATTTTATATTCTATCTCCTGTTGCAAAAGAAACTCAAAGTGGGATCTCCACTTCAAGAAACTGAAGGGTGAAACTAAGTGTGGGATCTTCACTCCGAGAATTGAGAAGATTTAGATAACTCTAACTGTTAAAAGGTTTGATTATCCAATCTAAAAGTGGATTTCTCATTTATTGAGATGGAATTCTAACTTTCGTCGTAACT